TGAGTCGCAGTTTTCGGTCGCCCATTATAGTTGAGTATAACCCGTTACAGTCAGCTAGTGCGTCATAAAACATGGAAGAAACCTGTGGTGAATGTTATCAAAATATACTTACTGGCTACAAAGTAGGGCTTCGCTAAAGGACTTGTTATATTCTTTGAATCTATCTTTGCTGTCTCGTAGAAAAACCACAAAATGAAATGTATATATTAACTTTTTATAGCGAAAATTATGAGGCTAACCTGTAATTCCTGCGGTGAGATGGAAATTTGAATGAATAAGCGGGCATTAGGTTTTTGCTAATAAAAAATCAAATACAATACCCAAACTGTGGCTGCAAACTTTTGAAGCGCATAACGGAAAATGTTTCCCTTAGCGGTGATGCTGATGCCAATTTCAGAATTCTTGCATGTTACCGCATTGTAATCAGGGATGCGAGTAGTTCAGTTGCGTTGAACAGTTATCAAATAAAACACTGCGTAGTTTTAAAATGCCACTCAGGAAAATCAGTGGACAATTTTCAATTTATAATTTTGGGAAATTTAATAAAACATTTAATGCTAAATTTCGCAGATAATAACAATAACGAATAGATTGCTGCTCAAATCCGTTTAAATTATATGTGTAATAAAATTAACCAATATCCGTCAGTGATAAAAACAAATCACGTAATCAATCGATTAGTCGCTTTACGTCTTGCCATTATTTTTAGGTATGCGGTCTACATAATCGACATTATTTCCACTGGATTTCGTTTATCCGTGTTTGAGGATTGATGCACTCTCACCAGTTAGTTTTCTGCACGAGTGGCTGAATGTTTGAAAAATTGACTTTACTTTGGAATGACGACGTTGATTAGATTTATGAAGGTATATAGGTGTCCAAAAAAAGCTTTATGTGATCGGCCTACGCCGGATTCTGTGCACATGTTTTTAGAATTTTTCGATGTACAAAACTTCCGTTATATCACTCAGTCCGCCGTGCCAGCCATCCGATGTATGGGCCAATATTCGAATAAACTTGATTATTCTGTGTACCTTCCCGGTAACACGCGTCCATGTTTCTTGTTTTGGGATAAACTGGTTAAGTCAAACATAGAAGCAGTAATCTTTTCGAGATGCGTTCTTCTCACTTGATTTCCGGAAGCTTAAAGTTTCGAATCCACAATGTAACTTCCTCAGTCTTGTCTCTTAATTTACTCACTGTGCTAGGTTCCCTGACCTACTTGTCGTTATCAAACCAGTACGCGCAGGACTGTCCATGTGAATGCAAGTCATGCCAGTGGTAAAAGTACCATGTGCAGTTTGGCAAAGTAGCATGACCGATCCAGATATGTTTAATGACTCTAACCAAAAGACCAGCGACCAACATATGCAAATTTTGCTGATGGGGGAAGAAAGCTGTAAATAAATCACTATCACTGTCTTCCGCTCACAAACAGCCAGCTGGACTGCCAAGAAAGAGCAACTCGCTGGATATCTTCGTGGAAATCCGAAGTAGGCCACTAAGCTCCAAACCAATAAAGGCGTTCTTGAAATTATCGGCCAGCTAGGACTGAGGATCCGGAAAACAGTATTCGGGCTTGAGCATGATTTATTGCTAGAAATATTGAACCTTGAATGTTAAATTATTATGAAAGTTAAACGATATTTCAAGCACTCCGTGAAGTTGGCTAGATAGGGTAGAAGAGTAAATAACATTTAAAACTCGAGGACTAAATTAAGGCAAAATATAATAACCAGAAAACAGAATGTTCCTATCTGGAGGAATTATCGGTTATACTTGATCTTCCTCGCTAAACATGTACGAAGAAAACCCGGTTTCGGGCCCCAGAGTGAGTGTAGTAGAGTTGACAGTTGGCTATGAGCTAAATACCACATGACGTATTCCAGAAATAATCAACGAGAAAGAAGTATGTTGGGAATAATTCTTGAACAAAATATTCAAATATTGTTGGTTGAATATTGATCTTTCTAGAGAAATAACACTACATTTCAGTGGTCAACCATTTAAGGCTTGGCAAAAGCAAGCAAATAAACCTTAAATATATCCCGGATTTTCAGACACAACCAAATTGACACTCTGCGGCGAATCAGCTGTAGTGGTTGGCATTCTCTTCCGTCTTGCTGTGGGCACTTCGTTGCGAAAAAATGCATTTGTTCTACCAAATATTTGCGGTTCGTAATCAATCAAGTTTCTGCACATTCAGGAATTCACGACTTGACAAGATGGCTTTGAAATTGCTGATCATTACACCGAAGCAAGCAGAGATCTATACAAAATCCAGACCTCAAATCTCTTTCAAAGTTATTATCATGTACTAGTCCCTCTGTCTTGCGACCAAATGACTTTTGTCACCAAAAGCGCGGTCGGAAGGATATGCTGGTTCCGGTATTCCAATTTTAGCACTTTATCCTCCTTGAGCGATCACTGTTTGTTGAAGTTGGAATCTCTGTTTCAAAGTTTGTAAAAGGAAGTGCCTTCTTACAGGGCACCTTCGGCCCCGAAAAAAAATTTTGTAGACTGCAAGGTTTTGTGAGTTGCGTCATGCGTATGTGTTTGCGACATCAATAAAAAAACATTTTTGAAGCAGTTACACAATTTATAAATCTTACTCTGACTGCTCCCTAGAATAAACAAATTGGATTCAAAGATGGATTTTTCCGACAATTTAGTGATTTGTTTTTTTCAAAATTTTCCGATCGATTTTCAGAATGCGCTCAATTATTAGGTCACTACTTCGGTACTTTAGTGCGGCTGATTGGGACTAAACGCACTGTGTATCTGATAACTTTAAGTTGGCCTGCCGGCATACCTGAGGTACAGGTTTTGGCTTGAACAACGTTTTTCTACTACATTGGAAGGGCAACTTTGTCATTGGCTGGTAATTTGTAGCACTGCACACAGACACCGTGTGGCACCAAGTGGCACAAATCGGCATAATGCGAATGAAATTTTATACACATCAAGAAGAGAATACGCGGTTGAAAACCCGTTATTTGTAAAATTCATCAACGTTTTCGGAACCAAGTTACTACCCGAACAGTCTAGCCAAATATCATACAATGTGGGGCCCAATGATGTGAGGCACACCACATGGTTAGTCTGTTGAATTTTTCTCGGTTTTCGACCGTCCCCTTGTGGGTCCTATCATGAACTTTATGTCAGTTTTTCCTGCAAGCATCTTATCGGTTTTCATCAGGCGATCACTTTGGTAAACATAAAAGGTGTTATCTTTGATGTCAAAGTTCACAATATTTAGCCAAAAAATCAGCAGCCGAAATTGGAAATGAAGCTCAACATGCTCGAATCAAATCCAAGGGCAACTTGTCACGATTACGAATAACCAAAAACGTTCCCAATTAGAGCGCGACAGATGCACAGGGACCAAGCTTTGTAGGTCACTGTATTCGCCATTTGTGTACTTGTAGCTATGCATTCGGTAACATCTCAAGAAAAGCACGCCAAACAGATGAAAATCGACAATATTTTAAGGATTCAAAACTGTTTAAGAGGCACTCACTTAGATACAGGAAAGCTGCACAAGGAAACATGATTAGTATGATACAGTGATTTTGATCAGGGCGTATTGCTGGGGCATATTTTGAAACAGGTATTCAAGATGGGACAGATTATGAGCGAAGGTGTCAAGCAATGTTTGTCACGAAACAATGAATGCAGCTGCGACCATTACACTGCATGCCGTGTAGCGATGGCAAATCTTCATGAGCATCAGTTCGTCAGAGCTGCTGGTAGATGAAGTTCCGGGATTCGTATTCACGGCCTGTCAGTAGCGAAACCATGAAACACTATCCGAAGAAGTATCACCCAAGCACCGAGTGTATTCAGTCTAGTCATCCAAAAATGCAAATTTCCGTGTACTGCAATTTCCTCGGCAAAAAATTTCTAAACGTTTTCTCTTGCATTGCATTCTGGACCACAGTCTCTTTGGTGCATTCCAATTACCGCAAGCCCGTCTAGAAAGTCGATTGATAGCCTGGTGCGCTTGGCCAAACCACAAAATATCGGTGAAAGTGCACACTGACTGATCTATTTACCGTTGTCGTGTACAGAAGGTCAAAAGTGATAATAAGCACACAGATCGTCTGTCAAGGACGAGTGAAATACAACCAATGACATTTGTCCCAACGATAACGGTTATTCCATTAGCTGTGATATAATCTCATTACATTCGGAGCTGGTTCTTCTAATATGCTGTAAAGCTATTTGGATTTTCCCTTTGACCAATAACATCTGACAGCAAAATGTGCGGTGGGGAAATGGTTTCCGGTTTGTGAGCGATTTTCCGCAGACTAAATTCTGAGTGTCACTTTGTGCAATTGACGAACGCATCACATAGAATTTAGCAAATATCTCAATGCGTGGCACGAGAAAAAATTAGGTTTTCGGTTGCGGGACTGTTTGTCCCGGCGACTTTGGTAATCGCCTAAATAGTCTCAGCGAACACACTTGCAGTTTAAAAGTTTATTTTCACACAGTTCAAAGAATATCCCAGTGAGACATCCAACGTGCACAACGTGTGTGTTTTCGGTCTGATATATCAGATATTTGCGAATGACTCCAAAAAAACGGAACCAGAGCTAGCCTAGGATTGCAGAGCATTGAAGAGAAGGTCCGTTGCCGGGCAAGAATATGACTACAACACCTAGAATATATTTTTGTCCAAGCATGGAAAACCTGAGATTGTCTCGCTCGGGTTCATGGGTTTTTGCAGCTGATAGGTTATTTGTTCGAGGCGAACATTTTTCCAGACAAACTCAGCAGAATTTTCCGGCAGAAAACAATCCGCAAAAGATCCATCTGCTGTTCCTCCATATTGTTAACTAACAGTTATGTTTGGCCGCCGAATTTGCGGCAACATGGAATCACCTGACATAAGATCAAACCAAGGAGTGTGCTAAATTCGTTACTTGTCACCAGGTGTGACGCATGCTAATCCATTTTGAGTGCGTGAAAAGAAAAGCTCCCATCGTTAAACTCACGTTTGGCTTCCAGTCACACCGGGAGAAAATAGAAATATCGGAAACTAAACTACCGAAAACAAAAATGATAAATATTATTGCAATTGCAATAAATACTATGCCGATCTCAGATCCCGTTTCGCACACACGAAATTTCAATAACATATAATGCTGCAATAAAATTATTCGTGGTTTTATGAGCTATTTGCCACAGACAGTAATGTGGCCGTCGATTCGCGCGACTGGGCAAATTAACATGACAGCTCTAGTGAATTGGTTTGCTTGAAGGAAAGTTCTGTGGGGAATAAAGCAGTTTCATTGGTGAACGGAAAACTGCATGTTCCGAAAGGAAACAACCATTGCAGAAATTCATATTAGAGAGGAGTAATCTTGTTTTTTTCATCTTGGCGTATCTCCAGGATGCGACGAATCTCGCACACAGATTGCTCAACTAGATATGATGATCCAATTAGCCTTGGTTTCCGAAACATGATTCCGTAGGCATCACACACGCATAATGCAACATAAAAAATGTACGTTACTGCAGCATCGCATTGTCATTTTTATCTGCAGTCATGGAGAACTAATCCAGAGGATCTGTAGTCTGCTGGACTGCGTCAACAGCAGCTGAGGCGAAGCCAAGCACAGATCGTGTAGGGATATCTGTACACGAAAAGCTGATTGCGAGTTTCACTTGGCAATCGCTGAGACTCCAAGGAGCAGCTCAAGCGTCTCTTTGCCTATCGGACGTAACCAGCAGTAGCATCACACGAGAATTGGGGTGTCTGAAGCATCTGACATTTCTGTTTTTGGTCCAGCTGTGAAGAGTTTGGCCATGATTAACCCAAAATGAATAACAAACTGGCACTTATAGCGGTATCCTTAAGCCAAGCACATTGTGTCAAGACATCATATGCTAAATAACGTGAATAACTGGCGAATATTCAGAGAGACTTCCCATGAATAGCGTGGGAAATTTTCTATTTTGATCAGATTGTTTCCAATTGTTGGCCAAGTGCTGAGTTTTGCTACTGTGAGACTAGTGACAATTCTGAACCCTTGGTGACCACAGTTAATTCATGAAACCTATGATTAGACTGCTCAGCACTCAAAAGTATGACCATGGGCCCTCTGCTGAGAAAAAAATGTTACCTGGCCACACCGGACTATAAAATATGAATTAGGTGGCTAGCGTGTAACTTTCGGTGTGCATCATCACTTCCTGCGAGCATCCCATAGCTGAATAACAGCAGATTCAAACACCTACTCGGAATTGAGAACAGGGGATCGATTGTTGAGTGGAATACCCGTGATTGAATGCAGTATGCATACCAGCCATTAGGCAGGCGACCTTCTTCAACACACATAATTCCACATAGATAAAGTGTATCAAATGTTTCTGGGGATTCGCTTGCTTTGCACTTATGGACCAGGGCTAACTGGTTTAACACATGAAAGCAAAATGCTGCGACCCCACGCAGCCCCCTCCCTTTTGTAGTAACATTCAAATGGATTGGGCGCAACAAATTTTTCAGACTGACCAAGCGACCAAAGACTTGCAGATTGAAGGGTCTCGCTTTAAATTCTAGTGGTGGCACTATCTACGTGGTCAATTGGTTGTGTTTAAATTCATTTGGTTTGACTAACCATTAATTATTTTAAATATGTATGCAACTTACAGGTACTTTGGCTCTGCCCATACACGTCTGCTGGCAACAGGTATACTGAAAGAGAATCAATGCAAGTATTATATTTAATCTGCGAGCCAATCGAAATGTGATGGCAAAGAGAGCGGGAACAGAACTGCACACACTGTTTATAAATTTCGTTGTAGAAAAGGATACTTATGTTCACCTAATGGGAGGCAAATCAACCCAACGATATCCATGTCGCTTCACATTACCTCGCACACTCAACTTACGTCCGAAGATCACCAGAAGAATAGTCGTGCACCGTGGCATGTTTGTCCGTCAAAACCTGCTGACTGTGTGAACAGGTACCCCACGCGTTTTTAAAGAATCACCACCACCTCATCTAGATTCACGATTGGACGAGTGCTTTGTGTCCAATCAGGAATGGCCGTGTTTTCATATGAGAGCGTGCACCAACAGAGAACTAGCCTACGGAGTATGCTAGACAGACCACTGGGCGGCTTCATTCAGCGAAAGCATCTAACGTACTCTGACATAATACAACCACTTTCAGAGTGGGCTCATACATATGTCACCGGAGAGTTATGAAATAACCTAAATTGTGTGAACCACGCAAGGACCTGAGGAGCAATTTATTACTGAACGCATGTTGACACGATTTGTTCAAGCTTCTCTGAAGTAGAGGGAATCAAATTGAATGCCATCGGATTGCCTCGCCAGGTTGAGGGGAACAAGATTCAGATTTTGGGAAAATCCGCATATTCCTTTTTTCAAGAGGTTGTGGCTAAGAAATCTTCATTTGTATCGTAGCGATGTTAAAACATAAACAGAAGAGAGATTTTTCACGTGGTCGTTTAATTTGGGACACCAAGTAAACGGTTGCAATCTATTGTTCAGGGGGTAAAACACATATAAGCACACTGGTTTGAAAAAAAGTGAATGTCCGTCTTCTATTTGAACGCGTCTTCTTTACCATTCCCTGTTAATCGACACAATTCCTCAAGCCAAATCAGAATAAATGTAAAGGCTATCTAAGGGCAGAATGCACAGTGGATGGGAAAGTGTAGTAAAGTATTGTGATCTGGAAACATTGATATCAGTAGTCTTCGATGCATCTGCCCAAACGGTGCAGAAGATTAACCGAGGAAATTAAGGCGAGTTTGAGAAGAGCAAACTGGTCGAAACTCACGAGCAATGGTCAGCAGTACTGCCCGATAATGTGCTGGGCGCACATTACGTTGTCGAACAGAACACGACCATTGACACAAAGCCACCTGAATGCCTTCGTGATACCAGTAAAATAACTCCTAGATTCTACGTTATAAGGCGAGGTCACCGGCGCGTCCAAATAAATTTTGACCGAAATTCTAGCAATCACAGTTCTGGCGCTACACCATTATCTGTATCGTTCCTCAGTTACGTTCAACTAAGATGGGAGCATTGTTCAAAATGATTTGTAAACTGGTTGGGAGGGCAATTAATATCGGGCTGCGAACAAGGTCACTTAAAATGACTAATTCTGACATGCTGCAATCAAACCGACGCGACAAATGGACAGAGTGCCAGTGTGGTCAGGAAGCACTGGTAAAAAATAGCTTCAGAGAACTTAATTTAGCCGGTGAATGTGATCAAACTAGTCATTGTGGAACTGCCCGGCAATGTGAATTCACCTGCGCGACTTGACGAGAACAGTTTGGAAGAAAAGAAATACCCATTAAAACCCAATTCCGCCGGCCATTATCAACCACCTGAGTTGACCAAATCGAAAGGTTATGCATCAAGTGGAATACAGCAGCGCACACCGAGTACAAAAGATTAACTGCAACCAACTAAATAGTGCTGCTATGGAGAAAAAATATGGTCCATTCAAGAGTTAAGTTGATGCTGCCTCGCTTCAGGACGCGCCACAGGATGTGCAGTATTGAGGCGTGGTGTAGAGTTTTCGATAGAATTATGAAATTATCTCACGTACTCAAACAAGTCACCAGCCATGACCTTAGAAAAGATTTTCCTGTGTCCCCGTTATAGCGCATTGTAATCAGGTTAGTTTCACTGCAAAAAAAGTGCAATATAGTGGAGAGTGTGCATGCTCAGCAGCTCAAACACACAGTTCATGCGGCGCGATCTGGTTGGAACTTAGTTGAAAACATATTCGTGTGTGGTTTTGCGAGATACATTTGCTCACTCGGTGAAATTTAAAATTTGAAGAAACTAGTTGGAAATTCATGAAGCTCACACACAGAACCACTCCAGGGCATTTATTAGCATGGCTCCGTCAATCGTTATGTCATTCACGCACATCCCCTATGAAGTACGATTTTTTCACTTTCAGTCACACACGCGTCTGCCTCGTCCAGGCAGATTTACCAAGCGAAATATCTGGACCGCACTCAAGTTCCAGTACTAACTTTACTGGGCAAAATCCCTGAAACTTGGTGACCCGTGTCGGGTGGGCGAAGAATGTCATGCAGCCACGTTGTATGAATCTCATATTGACCACCCACTTTACGCCGGGTAACTCGACCAAAATCACTCTCCTCACATCACATTGGATTACGAGGTCATACCGTTTGTTCAGGCGAGATGGAATGTTAATTGTTCAAGCAATAAAGACAACCATAGGCAGTGGGGCTTCACTTTCCTCCCCACAAGTCAATAATAGCACCACCACAACGTTCGCAATGACTTCACTGCCACTGACACGGACGAATTTGATTCCACCTAATCGGAAGCATCCTCCGTGCTCTCCTATAACATCATACATTCTTCCATTTGTCAACCTCGCCGAAGACCCACATTGCTGCCCAGACGCGTATTTTATCTCAACCTTATTTCTTCACTAATTCATAAGCGCAAACGAAATGCACAGGTTAACGACAGCCTGTCTATGCCAATGGTCATCAGTGAACTAAGCGCAGGGATGTTTCTCCGTTTATATTTGATATTTCTGCGAGCACTCCAAATCCTCTGGGATCTAGTTAACCAGATCGACCTTGAAACAGTCCATTTGGCGCTGAGAGCGGCATTTTCGAAACTCTGCCTCTGTCAGCGGGTGCAATTCACGGCCGAAGCGTTACAGTTTATGATAAGCATATAGCTAGTGCAAACCAGCCAAACACCACACCCCATAAAATAATTGGGAAGAAATAAGGTTGAGATAAAATACGCGTCTGGGCAGCAATGTGGGTCTTCGGCGAGGTTGACAAATGGAAGAATGTATGATGTTATAGGAGAGCACGGAGGATGCTTCCGATTAGGTGGAATCAAATTCGTCCGTGTCAGTGGCAGTGAAGTCATTGCGAACGTTGTGGTGGTGCTATTATTGACTTGTGGGGAGGAAAGTGAAGCCCCACTGCCTATGGTTGTCTTTATTGCTTGAACAATTAACATTCCATCTCGCCTGAACAAACGGTATGACCTCGTAATCCAATGTGATGTGAGGAGAGTGATTTTGGTCGAGTTACCCGGCGTAAAGTGGGTGGTCAATATGAGATTCATACAACGTGGCTGCATGACATTCTTCGCCCACCCGATACGGGTCACCAAGTTTCAGGGATTTTGCCCAGTAAAGTTAGTACTGGAACTTGAGTGCGGTCCAGATATTTCGCTTGGTAAATCTGCCTGGACGAGGCAGACGCGTGTGTGACTGAAAGTGAAAAAATCGTACTTCATAGGGGATGTGCGTGAATGACATAACGATTGACGGAGCCATGCTAATAAATGCCCTGGAGTGGTTCTGTGTGTGAGCTTCATGAATTTCCAACCAGTTTCTTCAAATTTTAAATTTCACCGAGTGAGCAAATGTCTCTCGCAAAACCACACACGAATATGTTTTCAACTAAGTTCCAACCAGATCGCGCCGTATGAACTGTGTGTTTGAGCTGCTGAGCATGCACACTCTCCACTATATTGCACTTTTTTTGCAGTGAAACTAACCTGATTACAATGCGCTATAACGGGGACACAGGAAAATCTTTTCTAAGGTCATGGCTGGTGACTTGTTTGAGTACGTGAGATAATTTCATAATTCTATCGAAAACTCTACACCACCGCTCAATACTGCACATCCTGTGGCGCGTCCTGAAGCGAGGCAGCATCAACTTAACTCTTGAATGGACCATATTTTTTCTCCATAGCAGCACTATTTGGTTGGTAGCTGTTAATCTTCTGTAATCTTGCATGACCCTAAACTTCGCATCCTTTATTTCGCGAGGCGATATTTTTGCCATAGGTGTCCTCGGTTACAGCACTGTTTGTTGTGTCCGACTGATCCTGAGAACTCAGTGAGCACAGCTTTTTTCACACTGGTTGAAGTACTTTTCGACTGCGTCAACTCAGCTTTTTTTCTTCCAAGGCGCACTCATCATGTGCACTTGCGTTTGTTCACTAAGTGAGCAGTTTCAAATTGACCATATAAATCACTACCTCCAACCAAGCTGAACTCCGTGAAATTATTGGTATCAGTAATGCCTGACCACACCGGCACAGCCTCCATTAGTTATGTCATTATGATCACTATGGGTGCACATTAGTCATTTCAAATTATTACGTGCGCACCCCGATATTTGTTACCCTGTCTACTGGTTCTCAAATCATTTTGAACAATGCTCACATCCTTGTTGGACACAACTTAGAAACGATCTAGACAATGGCGCAGCACAAGCATTCCGATTGCCTAGAAGCTTTTACGGAATTTTTACGTGCGCATCGGTCATCTATCCGGATAACCAACACATTCTGAATTTTCTCTAAGTTAGTCGAATTTTCCTCAAAGAAAATTGTGTCAGAAGAATGTTTACATTATTTGTTGCCAAATTTCGAACGCGTTTATCGTTTCACGGCCTGTAATTAAGTGGAGTAGAACAATTGTTTACTGACATATCCAACTACGGCCCCGCAACTGATTATCCATTTATGGATGACTACAACACTGGTAAACTTATTAACCCCACTGACCGTAAACAGGTTGCTCAAAATTAAGAAAAATTCACACGGTGATTGAGAACCCGGTGGCGACCCGAAGACTGGTGATATTGAGTAAACGAGGGCGAAATCGAATGTCTCACGTGAACACACTCCTATCAGTCTTGTCAACAACCACGAAATGCCCCCGTGCAATTTAGCTTCACGGAAAACACGGTTTTGAAGAGTTTGTCACTTGCTGAAATGGTCATGGCGTGTAAGCGCACTATTCTCCTGATTATTTCTAACAGGTTATGCAGCTATATAGTCAGGTAGTGTTGTGAGGCGACATGTGTCGGATAACTGAAATTATCTCTTATTCCCCGACTGGGGGGAACAACCCAGTCCAATAGGCAAAACAAGGACATAGCCGTTGAAATACCAGTTGGATGCGGCAACGTAAAGTATCGGCGAAGGCGATTGTATTCTCGAAGATTCGTGCGTGCACGTCTTCTGTCACCCTGACATCCTGTTTAACCCATCTTCCGAGGCCCCTGTAGCATTCCACGACATAAACTCTCGCGCGTTGAATGACGTCAGGCATGCGCAAAGTTTTATTATGCCAGAAGAGTTATTCCTTTGTGTGTATCTGAGTATAATTGTGTATTCCATTAAGAAAAATCGGAATATACGTAAAAGAATTTGCGAACAGAGTGTGCATCGTATGCGAAAAGCATTGTTTGAATATTTTAATTCAGGTAGAATCTCCCAAACATGGATGCCAATGATCTTGAGCGTATTTACCCAACGGTGCAACAGTTCATCTGCACTCAGGCCCATCCTCGATGTGTGTTCTACCCTTTATCAAGCTTCAGATAAATAGTCTGATATCCTGTTAGGAACAGCCACAAAAAATTGTTGACACAGACCTTGATTACCTGAGCGGGGGTCAGGCTCTGCAACATCGGTGTTGACACCAATGTTTGCCGCCTGTGTTGGTTTCGAGTTTGTCGACTTGATTGGCATGGGTTGGATGGCGTGAGAAATTTGATTTCATTCCATTTTGCAGAATATCACTGGTCTTCAGGTCACCAATCCAACATTTTCAACGCAGGTTCAAATGTCTTGGAGGTCCATCATTGACAGCAGCCCTTCTGGTATTTTGAAGTCAGACAGCAACCGTTCGATTAATGCCAGGACGTCAGCATTGGCGACGCGACTATCACAGTTGGATTTCGAGAGTGACACGACGTCATCTACGGCTCGGTTGAACCAAGTGTTATGGGCTTTCGAGTGGGACAAACAGTTAGTTTCGGGGGCACCAGCAAATCCGCATTGTGTGGTGTGCATTGTGCATTGCGTGAGTCCGAATCTTTGTGGGACCCAGATGGAAAATTGGGCGACCATGTTTGTGTGACTAATTATCTTGACGTGAATTCAAAGTTTGGCTCCCAAGCAATATTTGGATTCATATTATTTGTCACGCTGCTCACACCACCAACAAGGGCCTTGCCGGTTTCCTGGGTGAAGCTTGTGGCATCGATACCAGTTGGTTGGTTGTCCTGTTCAATGGCCAGAATGGCCGGTACACTGAAAGGAAACAGGTTGGTTGCCAAAATCCTAGGTCATCAAATGGACGTCCGATGTAGCTGCACGGCAACAGAATGCGCTAGGACATCGAGACAGCTGCACGAGACACGGTATCACAAAAAGTCCAAACAGCCTTTCAATTAAAATTAATCAACCCTAAAATCACCGAATAGCTTTTACTTTGAGGTGCGCAAATCCAGATATAGCGACGACAAATGAAAACATGCTATGAGGCAGGTAGGAAGGTTATATCATCTAATACGTAGTAAGACCATGAGATATGGGACAATCGAAGAAGTGCGGTCGTTAAATTATTGGTTGGAGGGTTACAATGCAAGAGCATAGTGGTTCTGATCATGGTCTGGTCTTCCGTACGGTCGATGTTGCACAGACGTCATCAAAATCGAATTCAACACCCACTGAAATAGCTGTTCCGTGGTGGAATAAACACACTGAAGTTGAGAAATCTAGACTCTCTAGTACACAATCCACAGCTTGCTTCGTGTAGTGCGATCATGTCGCAGAAATCACGAACAGGCACCGTGCTAGTTTACCATTCCTTATCCCGTTTATCCACCTATCTGACCGTGATCGCGGTGCAGTGTAAAATATTGAGGATACCAATTCTGTCAAGGTGCCGGAATGTCCGAGGCTTCACTAGACAGCTGAATCGGAACAGTGAGTACTTGTGTCAGGCACCCTCACAAAATCGAACTTGCTACACATTCACGCATGCATGAATGAGCCCAGGCTGATCAGATTACTCGAACAAACAGATTTGGTTTCACCATTCCCCGCGAATCTGAATTCATCGGAACAATATGTGCAAGGACGTATTCAGAGAGATGCAAGCAATGATATACTGCGGACACTAAGCGTTGTGACAAACGGTTAGTCTCGAGCACCTTATTTTTTTATTTTGATATTTCTGTTAGTCTCGA